CTGGACACGAGGGAGCACTGTTTGAATGAGTTCAACTTCCCAGACCCCTACTCCCAGGTGTGTGCCCGGGGCGGGGGCGGGGCGTCCTGCCCAGCAGGCGGGTTGGTAGCCACCCGGCCCCGGTGCTGGGGGTGGGCTGCACCTGGAGCAGCACCCGCTGAAGAGCCGCAGGTTGGGGCCCTGTGGGGACCCCGGGCAGAGAGCTTTGCTGGGGCTCTCACCCTTGGCCAGTGGGGGGAGGTGAGGGGGGTCATGGATGTGAGGGACCAGTCACCTGCGTTTGCCCAGGAGGTGTGGCCTCCCAGGGGGCGGGTTCTCGGTGTGCCCGCCTCCCCCCCTCCCGAGGCCGCCGGAGCCTCACGGTCGGTGTTTGTGGACGTCTGTCCTGCTCTCAGGAGTGACCTGCGGTCAGAGGCGGGAGAGGGGTGGTGGGCAGGGTCCAGGCACCACTTGGCAGCCATCCCGTGCCCTGCCCTTTGCACGGGAGCGTGGGGGGGGTGGAGGGGGGCGTGTGTGCCAGGAGCTCCCCGTCAGGGCAGCGGTGCCGTGAGCGTCCTGGCCTTCTCGGCCTGCCCTCGGCCACGGGCTGAGCCACCTGAGCCGCTGTGCGCCGGTTAAATGTGCCCGGGCGCCTGCTCTCACGTGGTGCCTCGAGCCGCGGCAGCACCCCTAACCGGCCGACCTTGGGTGTGGAAGCGCGAGCGTGAGGTCACGGCGAGCACCTGCCCCCCAGCGGGGCGCCGGCAGCCTGGGGCGCGGCCCACTGTCGGCTCCGACCGCCCGCAGGTGAAGCAGAAGGAGAACGGCGTCGCGCTGCGGGGCTTCCAGAGCGTGGTGCGGGCGCTGGACGCGCTGGGCTGGGAGGAGCGGCAGCTGGCGCTGGTGCGGGGCCTGCTGGCCGGGAACGTCTTCGACTGGGGAGCCAAGGCCGTGTCCGAGTAGGTGCCCGCCCCCCTCCGGGTCCCCTCACCCCACAGCCCTCGGCTCCAGTCCCCTCCAGTCCCCGCTGCTGCCTGGGGTGGGTCACGGAGCAGCCCAGCCCCGGCCCAGCCACAAGGAGGCAGCAGTGAGGGGACCGGGTCCTGGTGGGCTCGGCTGCTGGGGGAGGGGGGCAGCCCCTCCCGTCCCCAGATGGTGCCTGTGGGCTAGGGGTGTGGACGTGGGGCTGACGTTCCCACGGGCCAGGGCCAAGAGCTGGTTGCCTCGTGGAGTTGGGCCCCAGCGTCTGTGTTGCAGCAGCGGCAGCAGCTGATGCTGAGTGGACAGCGAGCTGCGAGGCCGAGTCCTGGGTGTGAGACTTGCTCTTTCCTCCCCGTGCAGGGTCCTCGAGTCTGACCCCCAGTTTGGGTTTGAGGAGGCAAAGAAGAAGCTGGAAGGTAGGTTGCCCAGGGCGCCTCCGGACCGGGTCCCAGCCGGTGCTGGGGGGTGGGGGGGCCTGTGGAGGTGGGAGGACCGCTTCCTGGAGCCGCGGGGGTGGGGTGTGAGGTGACTGCGCCAGGCTGACCGCACCCCTGTGCCCCCCAGAGCGGCCCTGGCTGGTGGACTCCTACGACACGTGGCTGCAGAGACTGAAGGTACATGCAGCCGCCCCGCCCCAGGGCCACATGCGTGGGACCAGCTGGGGTCACAGGAGGGGGGTTGTGGAGGCCTTGGCTGCCCGGGGCCCCTGAGTCTCGCCACCACCGCAGCTGCAAGTCCAAGATGACCATTCCCTGTCCCAAGCCTGACTCCATGGGACCACTGAGGAGGTCTCTGACCTCAGTGCAGAGGTCGTTGGGGGCAGTGGCTCTGGAAGAAGCCCAGGCCGCCCGCCCAGCGCCCACGGGCGGCAGCGGCCTGGAGTGGCGGGCGGGGCGGGCGGGTGGGGCGGGCGGAGGGGCTGACACGCTTGGCCGCGCCTGTGCCCAACTGAACGTCCTGGTTTTGTCTTGCAGGGGCCCCCTCACAAATGTGCCTTAATTTTCGCAGATAACAGTGGAGTAGACGTCATTTTGGGAGTCTTCCCCTTTGTCAGGGAGCTTCTGTCTAGAGGGACGGAGGTGAGTGTGGGCTGCACGCGGGGCCTGGCCCGGCTGCTCCGAGCCGGCAGGTAGGTGCGGGGCGGGTGGGCGGGCAAGCAGCGACCGTGTCAGGGCGTCTGCAGGGGACCCGGGGCCGCTCCGCAGGCCGCAGCGGTGCCAGGGGTCCCAGCCAGCACTCCCCGCGGCTCCGGGGGGCGGGCGGGGTGCCGCTGGGCTGGGGCGGCAGCGCGGCGGGTCCCTCAAGCGCCGGGGTGTCTGCTGCAGGTCATCCTGGCGTGCAACTCGGGCCCCGCCCTCAACGACGTGACCTACGGCGAGGCCCTCCTCGTGGCCGAGCACATCGCGGCCATGGACCCCGTTGTCCAGTAAGCTGGGCGGGGGCGGGGCCTGGGCGGGGCGGGGCCGTGGGAGTGTCCAGGGCCCACCTCACGCACCGCCCCTGTGCCCACAGCTCGGCGCTCAGAGAAGAGAGGCTACTGCTCATGCAGACCGGCTCCAGCTCCCCCTGCCTGGACCTCAGGTACCGGCCGCTCCGCTCCCCCGGCCCCGGCCCCCTTCCCACCCCTGCAGTCCGCCCTCTGTCCTCGGGGCCCCATCACGGCATCGCGAGCGCCCTGGCTCGTGTGGGCGGGAGACGCGGACACTGTGCGCGCCGCTCCGAGGCCGAGGGGCTGCCCCGCCTGTCGCCGCGTCCCCTCGGCTGCTGGTCCTCGCTCAGGCCCCGCCCAGGGTCTGAGCATAGAGACCCCGCTGAGCCGGCTGTGGCCCGGACTGTCCGTCAGTCTGCCTGGTGGTCACCCAGCCGGTGTCACCGAGCCGTGGCCCAGGCCACTGCTGACCGCAGGGCAGGAGGGCAGATGCACAGTGGGTCCAGGTCCTTTATAATCTTTCTTTTTAATATACTTTTATTAATGTCAGAGGGGAAGGGAGAGAGGGATGGAAATATCAATGATAAGAATCATTGATCGGCTGCCCCCTGCCTGCCCCCCACACTGGGGATGGAGCCTGTAACCCAGGCCTGTGCCCTTGATGGAAATCGAACCCAGGACGCTTCAGGCTGCAGGCCGACGCTCTACCCACTGAGCACACCGGCCGGGGTGGGACCAGGTCCTTCAAAGTTCAGAGTAGGAGGTGTTGCTGCGGCCGCTTCCAGACGGGCTGCCCGCTGGTGGACTGGAGCCCCGTCCGAGGGGGGTCTCTGTGCCCCGGGGCAGGCGGGGCAGCCGAGCCCGCCTCACGGCCCTCCTCCCACAGCCGCCTGGACGAGGGGCTGGCCGTGCTGGTGCGGGAGCGCGGGACGGACCTGGTGGTGATCGAGGGCATGGGCCGGGCCGTGCACACCAACTACCGCGCGGCGCTGCGCTGCGAGAGCCTGAAGCTGGCCGTGCTCAAGAACCCCTGGCTGGCCGCGCGCCTGGGCGGCCGGCTCTTCAGCGTCATCTTCAAGTTCGAGGTCCCGGCCGAGTGAGGCCCGGCCGCGGCCGACGGCGTCAGGGACGGACTGGGCCGGCGACAGGGACGCCGCGTCCCTATTTATGTTGTGCTTCTGTGACTCAGGCGGGCGCGGCGGGCCTGTTCCCGGCGGCGGGCCGTTCCTCACGCTGCCGTGTCCGTGCTGGGAGGCGCTGCCCGCCCGGGACGTTCGTATTGGAATGTATTTAACTGTTAAATAACCTTTTATATATGTTAAACATCTATATGCCTGTGTCTGACAGGGCGCAGGCGCGAGGCACGCACCAAATAGAATTTCTAGAGCGAGACTGGGGCCTGTGCCTTGGCTGTGCGGTCGCCGGAGCCCTCCCACCAGGGTGCTGCCAACGCTCCTCCCTCGGTCCCAGCTCTAGGGCCCCTGGGCCTGCGGGCGTGGCTGCCCCCCCCTCCCCCAACACACACACAGCGCTCCTGCCGAGAGCAGGCCGAGCGGAGGCTCGAGGACCCTTGAGGGCTCTCGGGGCAGCAGTGTGCTCTTCAGAGCCGATCAGACCTGTGGGTTTTGTCGCCGTGGCCTGAGCCTGTGCCCACAGCTCTCCCGGGGCGGGTGGGGGCTCCCTGGGCCCAGCCCTGGCTGCTCCCCCAACGGGACGTGTCCTTGGGGTGCAGGCTGGAGCCATCACGCACGACTCCCTTTGGAGGGACCCACAAGGCCTGCGTGTGCGGCAGGCAGGAGGGCTGAGTCTACAGCGTGTTCCCTAGGATGGCGGGGAGCCTGCCAGACGGCTGCTAGGGGCCTGTCACCGTGGTCCCTGGGCCCCCCAACCCTGGAGGAACCAGACACGCGGGCTGGGTGGGCACGGGGCAAGGTCACCTGGCGGTCCCTGCAGGGCCATGAGTGTGTCCACCTTTCTGCCCACCCTCTCCTGTCCACTGAGACCCCCAGTCCCTGCCCCGCACCGAGGCCGGGGCCCTGGGCCCTGCAGGTGGCTCTGCTGGGCAGTCTGGCTCCTGCACGGCCCCAGGGCAGCAGGGCGCAGCCAGTCAGCTCAGCCCGGGAGCAGAGGTCAGGCTGCTCCGGACGCTGCACACCCGGACGCTTAGCGGAGGCCACAGAGGCTGCGGCGGGCGGCCCCGCAGCGAGGGAACGTGCTGGTTGAGTCGTGTTTGGGAATTTACAGGCTAGAACAGTGGTTCTCAACCTCCCTCACGCCTCGACCCTTTAATGCAGCTCCTCATGCTGTGGTGACCCCAACCATAACATTATTGTCGTTGCTACTTCATAACGGTAATGTTGCCACAGTTATGAATCGTATTGTAAATATCTGATATGTAGGATGTAGTTAGGTGACCCCAGTGAAAGGGTTGTTTGACCCCCAAAGGGGTCGCGACCCACAGGTTGAGAACCGCTGGTCTAGAATGTCCGCACAGAGAAGGGACCCTGCAGAGCATGCCAGGCGGGCGGCTCAGCACTCACAGGGGCTGGGCACACACGCGCGCACACACACACACACACACACACCCCACACACACGGCAAAGACCTGGGAAACAGGAAGGACTCGGCCCCATTTTAATGTCGTAGAAGCTTTGTCTCAAAATGTAAATCTCTCTGTGCACATCGCAAAGCGTCGTGACAACGTTGCCAGGGGTGGGGCTGCCTTCCCTCCCCCGGAGGAGAGGCCTGGGCAGAGGACGAGCGCCAAGGGGCACACAGCTCCGGGGCCAGCACGCGCCATGTCCTGAGCAAACACGAGACCCTGCCTGGCCGCTGGCTGGTGGCCACGGCGCGGGAGGGCAGGAGTCCGCGCGGGGGCTGGTCACAGCCTGAGCAGGAGGCCAGCGGCGCCCTTGGGGGCGGGCAAGTCCCCGCAGCCCTCTTGGCCCGCAGAGCAGGCGCCCTCTGGGGCACCCCGCTCCTCCTCGGGGAGTCCCCGCGGGCCCTGCAGCCGCTGCTGCCGCTCCTGGGCCTGGCGTGCCCGGCTGGCGATGGCGCGCACGCGGCTCTGGCTGCGGGAGGAGCGGCGCTGGAAGCCGGGGCCACTCGCCGCCCCCTCCCCGGCCGGGCCCAGGCTGGTGGGCGAGGTGATGTCCCCCGCCTGCTGGAAGCCCGTCAGCCACAGCAGCTGCTCCGTCAGGGGGTCCCGCTGGGCCGCCCGCCCCGCTGGCCCCTCCCCGGCTGGGCCCAGGCTGTGGCCCAGGCTTCTGCCCCGGCCCTCGACGCGGGGGGCGAAGTCGTCGGCAGTCAGGTCCCCCAGGCTCTTGGACTTGGTGGACGTGGGGCCGTCCCTGAGGCCGGCCGTGGGGAGGCGGGCCCGGGGGGCCACAGGGAACTGGCCTGCAGCCCGCAGGTTGGGGTTGGATTTGCTCTTGGTCACCGAGAGGAAGTCCAGGCGGGCGGCTGAGGCCGAGCAGGGCCGTAGGGGCAGGCGTCCAGCCGGGGCCCCCAGGAGGCTCTCCCGCCCCAGGCCCAGGCCCGGCAGCGAGAGGTCGATGACGGTGTCGCCGGACGACAGGCTGGAGGACGAGGACACGCTGTCTCGGTGGCTGCTGGGCTCCAGCCGCTGCCAGAGCCGGTCTCCGGCCGTGGCGTCCGAGTACAGGGCCGGGGAGGGCCCAGCCAGGGACCGGCGTCCACTCAGGGGCTCCGAGGGCACCTGCCCCTCACTCTTGGCCCTTCTGACCAAGGGCAGATGGCCCAGGGCCCGGGGGTGGCCCCTGCTGTCCGTCTGGCTGCCGGGCGCCCCCTCACATGCTCCACTGGGGCCCCCACCATGGCACGCCTGCCACCTGCTGTGGGGGGCTAGTCCTGTGTCCCCCTGGCTCCCGGTCCTGAGCTGGAGGGACACCGCTGGGGGGCGCTCAGCCTGGACTGCGGGGCCCGTGGTGCACCAGGGTCCCCCCTGGGCGGGGCGGGGTGGGGTGGCCGGCGGAGGCGGGGGCCCGGGGCCCAGCGCTGGCTCCTCAGCTATGGTCTCCAGGCTGCACAGCGAGGAGACCGACCTCTGCATGGAGAAGGGGCGGGGATCTGCGGAGAGGGAGAGGTGGGTGTCGGGCGCAGCCTGTGCCCCAGGCCCCAGTGACCAGGCCCCTCCAGGCCACACGGGGGCTGCACCCTGCCCTCCACTCCGCTGCTGCTGGGCCCTCCAGGCAGGGGCCGTACAGGGCACACGGGGGCCCACACGGCACACGGGGGCCACACAGGGCACACGGGGCCGCACAGGGCACACGGGGGCTGCACAGGGCACACGGGGGCCGCACAGGGCACACGGGGGCTGCCCCGTTACCTGGCACTTGGCTGCTCTCAGTTCCTAACTACGGAGGCCGCATGGGAACAGAAAGAACAGGGTGGTCAGCGTGGGGGCGGGGCTGGCCAGTGGGCAGAGGGACAGCAGGGCGGGGTGCAGGGAGGGGAGCAGGACGGCTCAGCTTCCCCCTCCCCAGTCGGCAGCCGGCCGGGAGGGGCTCCAGGCCTGAATGCACCCCGGGGCCGGGTGCGCGTGGAAGCTGCGACCTGGGGCTCGGAGCCCCGGCCAGGAGTCAGGGGCATTAGGGCCCACTCCCCAGAGGACTGTGGGGCAGGGGCAGGGGCAGGACCCCTCAGCCTTCCCTGGAGGGAGGCGGGGGCTGGGGTGGGTGTGTGGCTGGACGCTGCCCGAGTCCTAGGAAGGCCCCAGGCCAGGGAGGGGAGCGGCAGGGGCACAGGGCCGGCCCCAGCGGCATTGCTCCGGCTGCAGGCCTCCGTGGGCACAGCCTGGCTTCAGTCCCCACCCAGGGGACATTCCGGGGTGAGGGCGCCGGGACTGCACCTGCTCTCTCCCCTGGGCCCTCGGGGGTGGGGGGCCCCCAAGAGCAAGAGGCCCGGGATCAGGCTGGGTCAGGCAGGAGTTGGGGCGGGGCCGCGGGGAAGCCAGCGGAGCAGGGGGCGTGCGCGGCAGTCGGACAGGAAGCACAGCGGGCGGGGTCCGGCCAGGCCATGCGGAGGGCACGCCACGGGGAAGCCGGGGTGCTCCTGGTCTTACCGGTGGAGAACATGGGGGATTTACTCCTAATCTCCTCCAGCTTTTGAACGAACAGGGCATTCATCTCCCTCTGCATGGCCCCCGGCTGCCTGCGGGCGCCCTCGGGCCAGCGGGGGGCCCCCTCGGGGCTGCCGGGGCTGCCTGAGCCCGACACCGAGCAGCCGCCCCCCGGCCCCGGGGGGGACCCTCTGCCGCCTCTGCCTGGGGCCGCGTGGGGGGCCCCCAGCAAGTCCGCCCGGCCACGGGGCTGCTGGTCGATGGCCTGGTGCCCGTCCTGGGGCCCCGGGCTGGGGGCCCGCCCCCTTCGCAGGCTCTCGGAGTCCTCGCCGGCGCAGGAGCCCACCACGCACTTCATGCAGGAGGCGGCCATCCCGGCTGGCCCGGGGCCCTCGGGGCCACGCGGCGGCCGCCCCTGCCCAGGGCTCCTCTCAGCCGGCGCCTTACCTCGGGGGCTGGGGCCTCCGGGCTCCTCCTGGGCCAGGGCCCCGGGGGCCAGGCCGGGGCTGGGCGGGGCCACGTCCAGGGCCTCCCCCTCGGAGCCCGCGTCCTGCGTGCCCAGGACCAGCTCAGGGAAGGCCCTGTGGCCGGGCTTCTGGCTCTTGGCGGGGGCGCTGGCCGTGCGCCGCAGGAGCCGCTGGCTGACGGAGGGCCGGGGCGCGGGCCGCCCAGCAGCATGACTGTCCAGGGAGCCGGGCTTTGGGCCTCGGAGGAACAGACCTTTTAAGCCCAGAGCCTGCTTGACCTGCAAGAGAAGGAGCCCAGGTAGCCGGCGGCCAGGCCCTGGGCAGGGACGGCCCCGCCAGCCCAGCTGCCCTCGGGCAGGCGGAGGGTCAGCTCGCAGGCCCCATGGGCAGGCCAGCCTCGGGCCGCTCAGGCTGTGTAGGGAGGGGTCTCCGGGCGCCTCTACCGGGGACTGAGGCTGCTGTGGCTCGGCGCTGACCAGGCCGGCACGGGTGAGCCAGCAGGCGCTGGTGGGGTCCGCAGGTCTGAGGGCAGACAGGACCCCAGGGCTCCCCCAAGCAAAGACCTCGGAACCGGGACACCTGCCACCTCGCTGTGCACCTGCCTCAGGCCCCCGGACCCCTGACTGCCAGGGGGGTGCCCACAGGGCGGTGCTGATGTGGAGAGAAGACAGGCTGAGACCCAGGTGAAGCAGGCCCGGCCCAGCTCACCGGGCCCCCGCCCACCCGTCCAGGGGTGCTGCCGCCGCCAGGCAGCCTTTCCCAGCCTCACCCTGCCCCCTACGCACATGGCCCAAGGGCAGGGCTCACACCAGCTCGGTGCCCTGGACAGCCAGCCCGGAGGGTCAGGGCAAGGCCTCTCCCAGCAGCCTCCCTGCCTGAGGAGGGCAGCGGGGCTCCCGGGACCGGCGGGCGAGTGCCAGCGAGGCCAGCAGCTGCAGCTCGCAGGCACAGAGGCCGGAGGGTCCTCACATGCAGACCCAGGACACGGGCCCTTCGGGCAGAGGCGCTAGAGCGGCCAGCACTTGAATCAGCTTCCGGATTCAAGGTTCCAAACGCAAAGCAGTGGGTCCACAGCGGCTGGGAAGCCATTTAGAAGAAGGTCCAGGATTCGAGCTCGGAGCACCTGGTCCCTGGGACCGCCCCACCCGGCACACGGGGGACACACGAGGGGTGCGGAGCGGGGAGGCGGAGAGGGTGCGGTGCGGGGAGAGCTTGCAGCTATGACGGGACACGGGCGAGGCGGAGGGGCCCACGGGAGGCCTGGCCAGTCCTGGACCTGCTTCTAAATGCTGCTCTGCGGCTGACGATGGCCCGAGGCACCCAGAACCCAGTCCCCGTCACGATCCATGTCACATGAGCGGGCAGTCCCCAGGCTGCCAGTAGTCGCGGATGCTAATGGCTGCCCGAGCATGCGGGTGGGCGCTGCGCCCCGCGCCCCACGCCGGGTACCTGCGAGCTTCTAAGGGGCTTTGCTCCTAAAGGTGGGCTGGGGCCTAGAGAGCGCACTGCAAGACCAAGAGACAGAGCGGCAGCGGTGAGGCACGGACAGCGGGCGCAGGCCCGCGGACACACGGACGGACGGACGGCAGACGGCGGAGCGCTGGGAGGCCTGCGGAGCCCACGTCCGGCTGGCAGCTCGCCCGTGGAGCGTGGTGGGAGAGATGGTTAGTGCGGGAGCTGCCGGGCCCTGACACCGGACCTGGGGCCCCTGGGCCCTGATGACTGGGAAGGTGAAGCCAGGCCGGCTGGCAGAGGCGGTGTGCTGGGGGAGGGGGCGGAGCCAGGCCACGCCCTCTGGGGGTGAAGAGCCGGGACCCGAGGAGGAGTGGGGGCTCAGGAGACGGAGGGTGGCGGGGCCCTCCGAGGGCCAGGACGTCCCCCTCCTGGCGCCCGTGGCCGCCGGGGCCCGGAGCTCAGGTGCCCTCATCCCCCGTCACAGGTGGAGGAACGGCCCCGCAGGTCACCCCTCGACCTCAGGGCCGGTCCCTGCTGGGGTGCGCGGGCGGCCCTGCGGTGGGACTCACCTTACCGCTGACGTCACTGATGGCCACGTGGACAAAGATGGAGGCCTCCTCCATGCCCTCCAGGTACACGTGCCGATAGCCTGAAACGGCCGAGTCAGGCTGGCCCCGCCCCCCACACGCCACTCCAGGCCCCGAGGTCCTGGCTACAACCCCCAGCCCGGTCCTGGGCTCAGGCTCCTGGGGAAGCCGCTGGGAATGGCCCGCCCACAGGGCCTCTTCCTCCTCGACCCTGTCCACAAAGTTCCCGCGGCCTTTCCCACAGCGCCCTCTGGCCAGGCCCACCCGTGGCCGAAGCCAACTCTTGGGGGCAGCTGAGCCCCACCCGGCCCAGTCCCTCCGCGGCTGCAGGGACGCTGGTTTCTGTGGAGGACGCTGGTCTCCGTGGGGACCTGGGCCAGGGTCTGCCCTCCCCCGCCCTGCTGGCACCCTTGCCCACCTGGCATCATGCTGCTGAAGGCCAGCGTCCTCTGGCCGATGAAGTCGCGCCCGATGGGGTCGTGATCCCAGACAAGGAAGCGCACCAGTGCGATGTCGGGCATGTGCACCACGAACACCAGGGTCTCCTCCCACATGGGGTTGAACCCTGGAAGCCACCGGGAGGAGGTGTCACCTCGGCCCCAGCTCCAGCCCGGAGGCCACCTGGGCCCACACCTTCCTCCTGGACTGGGCCGCTTGCTGAGGGGAGCAACACTGGGGCCGGGGGCCGGGGGCCCGGCTGGATGGTTACTTGGGTGACAGGAGGCGGCCCTGGCCCTGCGTTCCCAGTCAGCCCGGCCTTGCCAGTGTGGCAGCTGTGTGCGGCCGGGCACCTGGCACGGGGGGCCGCATGCCCTCACCGTTGTCGTCCACCACGCGGGTCTGTTCCTTGCTGCAGTCCACCGGGAGCCCGATGACCTCCACCTCCACGAAGGGGTCGATGATCTGCGCGGAGGACCGGGTGACGCCGGGCCGGGCCGGCCCGCCTCCGCCCCGTGCCCGGCGCCCTCCTACCTCCCCGCGGTCCCCCAGCATCGAGTCGCGCGGCTTGGGGAGCTGCTGCCCGCTGATGATGCGAAGCACCAGCTGCTTCTTGAGCTGCCCGGGCAGGGGGTCCTCCGAGTTGGGGTTGAAGATGCCTGAGGCGGGGCAGGAGGCTGACCGGCAGGGCAGACCCCCCAGCACGGGCTGCACGGCGCCCTGCCACCCCCACCTATGGGAGGTGCCCAGCCCAGGAGGGAGGGTCAGCCTCGCAGCGCCCGCCCTGGCACCTGCACGCCGGTCCCTGTGCAGCCCGGTGTCGTCCCCTCGCATCAGTGAGCGAAGGGCTGAGCACGTGGGCAAGGCCACCCGCCTTTGGGGGGGAGTGAGGGGGGCAGGGGCCGGGGGAAGGGGTCCCGGTGAAAGGGCAGTGAGGCCTGAGCCGGCTGAGAACGTGGGTGCGAGAGGCGCCAGGAGGGTGTGGGGGCGGCGAGGGTCGCACGGAGGAAGCCGGGAGAACGCCGAGGTGTCGGAGGAGGGCAGCTCCTGCGAAGGCCGGGGCGCAGGTGCCAGCGGAACCCCTGCCCTGCAGCCCGTCCCCGTCCCCCCCCCCGGGTGCCCGGTCCCTCACCCTGGCACATGCACTGGGGCTTGAGCACGTAGCCGCAGTTGCCGTTGGCGCTGAACTTGGCCCGGTTCAGCTGCAGCATCCGCCCCTCCGACTGGTAGTTCAGGGCAACTGCAGGCAGGACGAGAGCGGGCGGGTCTTCGCCGTGACCTCCCCGGGCCCTGCACGGTGCCCCTGAGCCCGGCGGTCGCTGACACAGCGGGGGCCCTGGGGCTCACAGGTGCGCACAGCCAGGGCCACGTGTCCCATCCGTCCAGGCAGACGGCCCCCCAGCCCTCAGGCGCCCGAGGACAAGGACCCCATCCCCGCGCCTGGCGGTGGAAGTTGGCAGGAGACTGCGCAGGTCCAGAGCCGCAGAGAAAGGCAAGCAGAGACCCTCAGAGCACAGGCCGCACCCCTTCGGCCTCCCTGCCCCCTGACCTCGGCACCCTTGGCCTCCATGACCCCTGACCTCGGCGCCCCTTGGCCTCCGCACCGAGGCGGCTCTGCGCACCCACCCATCTGGCAGCCGGCGTTCCAGAAGGGCTGCGGGTTGTAGTTGCTGGAGTCCACGCGGTAGGAGGAGGGGTAGATGCGGGACAGCTGGCGCTGGTTGAAGCGCAGGTACTGCTCCGGCTTCTGCTGCAGGACCTGCTGCGCCCTCGTCTCGCTGAAAGACGACACCTGCCAGCTGGACGCCACTGCGGGCGCCACGGCGGCGTCAGGGCCCCGGTCGGCCCAGCGCCCCCACCCCCCGGCCCCCGAGCCCGGGCGCCCCTCACCCTCCGTGTCCACGTCGTGGGAGCCCACGGACTTCGTGTACTTCACCAGGTCCGACAGGGCCCGCGACAGCTGCATGGTCTTCTTCTGCCGGGCGGCCCTGCGGTGGACGGGGGGCGGGGGGGTGCAGTCAGGACCTGAGGTTCCGCCAGGTTCACTGGTTCATGGAGAAGGTCCACCCAGCGTCCGTTCGGCCCGGTTCCAGGCGCCAGGACATGCAGTGGACACACAGCGGACACGCTGGGAGGCGACACTGGGGGAGGGTAGCACTGAGCCCCCAGAGGACACCTCTCTGACCTCTGACCCGGATGGCGCTCCTGGAGCAAGCGCCGGGCCTGCCTGGCCAGCCCCCCTTCCTCCCGGCCACACCCGGGCCCCTGCCCGCCCCTCTGCCTGCCCTGAGCCCTCCCTGGCTGCACATCTGACTTTGGCCGTGGCCAGGACAACGGCCACTGTCTATTCGAGGGTCTGGGGGGTGGGCCCTGACCCTCGGTTCTGGGCGCCCTGCGGGTCCAGGTCCTCGTCCGCCTCTTCCACGCTGGCCACCTTCTTCAGCTTGCTGCTCTTCTGTGGAGGGAGGCAGAGTCAGGGCCGGGGCGGGCCCTGCGGGAGGTGCGGGAGGGCGTGCTGGGCCTGCTCCGCCCCTGCAGGGCCCTGTCAGCCGGGGCAGGGTGACCCGAGCTTGGGCCACTGGCCACTGAGGGTCAGGGGACGGCCACGGAGGCCCCTGCTCCGTCAGCCCCAGCCAGGGGTCCAGGCCCAACACCTGCCGTGGGTGAGGCCGCCAGGAGCTAAAGGGAGGTGCTGGGAGGTGGGCCAGGGGCCCTGGGGGCTGGAGGAGGGACAGCCGGGCACAGGGGGGCAGGGAGGACCCCAGCCCACACCCCCGCACCTTGCGCTTGGAGAGGCTGTGCATGAGCAGCCGGCTGTTCCGTCTGCTGGCCCCAGCGTCCTCCCCGGCCTCCACGTCCTCCTCAGCCTGGTGGGGGGGGGGGGGGGACAGACAGGGGACAGGTGAGCCCAGCACCAGGCAGGCGGGTGGGCAGGCAGCTTCTCCAGGGAGCCAGGCGGCCTTCCTGGAGGAGGGGGCTGAGGGAGGGGGTAGCAGGTGAGCTGGCTGGCCCCTTCCTGGGGGGCTGCCTGACACTCATTACGTCCCCCGTCCCCCGTTCGCAGGTGGCGGCTGCGTAACCAATGCCGTCTGTGGGGGGACAGCCCTCTTATGCGACCCCAGGGCAGCCCCGCGCCTCTGGTGCTGCCGGCCTCGCCCCCCACAGCTGCTCTGCTCACCTCGGCCGGTGAACCGGCTCCACAGGACTGAGCCGCACCATTGACAGAGCCCCCTCCCTGCCAGGCCCTCGCCCCAGGCACAGCCGGCCCTTCCCTCCCGAAGCTCACGCACAGGCCCAGCGCTCCTGGGAGCCTGTGCCGGCATCCGGCGCCCCCGGCCCCCCCTCCCCGCCCTCAGCCCCTCCAGAGCCTCTGCCGGCGCCTCCGGCCCCCCCTCCCCGCCCTCAGCCCCTCCAGAGCCTCTGCCGGCGTCCAGGGCCCCCGGCCCCCTCCCCGCCCTCAGCCCCTCCAGAGGCTGACAGACGGGTCCAGCTCTGCTCGGGCCGTGGGACCCCATCCTGACTCATCTGCGTCCAGGTGGGGGTGCACCTGAGGCCAAGGGGTCCGTGATGGACAAGCACATGGAGGCGTGTCCGTGACCCACTGGCCAGATGCCCACCCACCACCTGGGTCCCCCTGATTCTCTGTGGCTCTACCCAGTCACCCCAGCAGGAGAGAGCAGGTGCTGCCGCCCCCCATCCTCACACCTGGAGGCTCAGCCTGAGCTTCCCCTCGCCTCCTCCAGGAAGTCTTCCCTGAATGCCACCCCTCCCCCCAGACCAAGGCCCCCCTCAGACCAAGGCCCCAGGGCCTGCTGCCCTCCTGTGCCCTCCGGTGCCCCCATGGGCTGCCCGGCTGAGGAACGGCAGGGACCTCACATCACTGCCCAGCTGGGCTCACTGCCCGCCGCCCCCTGGACCTCAGGCACTGTCTCCTCCGCCTGGGCATCTTGAGACTGAAAATAGATGCCACCTGTCAGCCCCCGGCATGGGGCGCCCTCGAGTCTGTAGGTGCCACCTTCAGGCCCCTGCACCTGGGGGTGGGACGCGCACCCTCATCTGAACATACCCAAGGGGCCGGCCCTCCTCACTGTGGCGGGGAGCTGCCTCCCCTCCCCGCCGGGCTTGCAGGGCAGTGGGGTCTGAGACGGGGTGGGCAGGGCTCCCCTGAGACAGGTCTGCACCCCACCTGCCTGAGGCCAGTGCCCTGCCCACACGGCCGGAGGGGCTCGCTGCTGCTTTAGTGCTCGCACCCCCCCAGGGACCCCGACGGCTCAGCCTCACTGACCCAGGCTGGCACCCCCGCACCTCGTGCCTGCTGTGACAGCCCTCCCCTGTTTTGTCACCGAGGATACTTCTCCGAGCCCAGCTGCCCTTTCCCACGAGGCTGTGGGGGCTCTGGGCAGCCCTGCCCCCCGGGATGGGCTTGGCCCTGAGATCGGCCGGTCCCTCCCTGTCACTCAGGAGGCCCTTCAGTGGGAGGGCCTGCCCCCAGCCCCAGGCAATGCTCAAATGGCTCCCCCCGGAGCGGCCGGGGGCAGGGAGACAGAGCAGCCACACAAACGGGGCAAACTGGCACTCAGCTACCCACTGTAACATGGGGAAGGCTGTGGTCCTATGCAGGTGAGCATGTGTGCATGTGTGTGAGTGTGCAGGTGTGAATGCGGTGATGTGCAGGTGTGTGCAGGCGTGCACATGTGTGTGCAGGCGTGCACATGTGTGTGTGCAGGCGTGCACGGTGTGTGGATACACACGTGTGTGCAGGTGTGCATGGTGTGTGTGTGTGGATACACACGTGTGTGCAGGTGTGCGCTGTGTGGGTGTGTGTGGATACACACGTGTGTGCAGGTGTGCGCTGTGTGTGTGGATACACACGTGTGTGCAGGTGTGCGCTGTGTGGGTGTGTGTGGATACACACGTGTGTGCAGGTGTGCGCTGTGTGGGTGTGTGTGGATACACACGTGTGTGCAGGTGTGCACGGATACACACGGTGTCTGCACGTGCCGCTGACACCGGCAGGTGCTCACCTTCTTGCGCGCGGCCCTGTGCCCGGGCCTCCCTGGCAGCGGCAGCGCGGAGACCGCGAAGTCGTTCAGGTCCTCGCGGTCCCGGATCCGCGACTCCTTGATCAGGGAGTCCAGCTTCCGCTTGGCCATGTGCTCCACCCGCTTCCGGTTGGGGGAGGCCTGCGGCAGCCAGAGGCCAGCCTGGCATCAGCCCAGCCCCTCGGGCAGCAGCGATGACGGAGCCCGGGGCCGGGCAGTCCCCAGGGGCCCTGATGAGCTCTGACCCCAGGGCAGGGCCTGGGCTGTGGGCCTCTGGGCATAGGTGGGGCTGGATGCCAGGCCGGCCTCACACCCGCGGTGGCCGCTGGGAGCCCTGAGTGGCCTGGAAGGGCCCAGGGACAGGAGGTGCTCATTAGAGGCTGGGGGGCGGGGGGGGGCACAGCACAGCCTCCTGCTCCTCAGCCCCCACTCGGCCCAACCCCGCCCAGCGCTGCCCTGAGCCGGCGGCAACACTGCCGTGAGGAGGGGCAGCGCCCGTGGGGGTGACCGCCGGCGCCCGCTGGGCGGGCTGGCTCTTCCCACTCAGTTCTCAGCACTGGGGCTGGCGCTGCCCGGAGGCGGGCAGGACCCCGGGCACCCAGGCGGGCGCTGGGGTTGGCTGGAGAGAGGCGAGGAGGGGCGTCCGGGGCGGAGCCCAGGCAGGCGCAGGTGCGGTGGGAGCGGTGAGGGGACGGGGTGCTCCCAGCGCCCCCCCCCCCACCTGCTGCGGGCAGCCCGAGGGCGCAGGCTGCGCGGACAGCGCCTCAGACGTGGCTCAGAAACGGGAACCAGGTCAGGCCACGGCGCGGCCAGCCCAGCGGTCACAGGCTGGGGGCCCGGCTCCAGTGCGGTGGGAGGGGCCTCCGAGGTCTGGGGTCGTGTGTGTGCCCAGCAGCCAGTGGCCAGCACACGCCCCTGGCCACCCCCCCGCCCCCCACTCACATCCCCATTGAGGAGCTTGCAGTCCTCGTCCATCTCGTCCGCGCTGTCCTCGTCCGACACCTCGCCCTCCTCTGCGTCCTCGCTGATGTTGGGGGGCAGCTTCTTGCCCTGGGGGAGGGGGGCCGTGGGGGCTGGTTCAGCCGCAGGGGCACGGGGAGGGCTTCGCAAGCGTGTGCGGGGCCCCAGGCAGTGGGGCTGGGCCGGCTGGGCAGCCATGTGGGAAGGGACGCCTGTGTGTGCATGTGGAGCAGACGGTGTGGCCACCATGGGGAGAGTGAGCCAGGCCAGGGGCAGGTGCACAGAGCCCAGCCCGTGGAGTGAGGCCCTGCCCTCGCCCTGCCCCCGCCCTTCCCTTGCCCGCCCCCCACCCCGCCCTGAGTCGGGCCCAGCAAGATGCACCTTCACCAGGACCTTGCCCTTGAGCGCCTGTGGTGAGGGCAGCAGGGAGGCGTCCTCGCTGCTCACGGACGACAAGTCCAGCTTGTCCCCGAGGATGTCGGTCAGGTACTGGGCCATCTTCTTCTGCTGGGCCACACTGCAGTGGTTCTCGATGGACAGGATCACCGGGTACCTGCGGCCCAGGCCGGAGGGGCAGGTGAGGCGGGAGCACCGGGCCCCCCATGCAGACCCAGGGGCCCTGCTGCGCGGAGTGAGGGGGTCTCCCCGGGAGCCCGGGCTGCGCGGGGCTGCCGGCCGATCTGGGAGGGACCACCAGCAGCTCCGGGAGGCCCACCAGCAGCTCTGAAAAGCACCTGGCAGGTGTGAGAGGACCTGGGAGGCCTGAGGGTGGAGAAGGCACACTGGCCCGGCCCGCGAGGCTCAGGGGTTGAGCGCCAACCTACGAACCAGGAGGTCGGGGTCCGATTCCCGTCAGGGCACAGGCCCGGGTTGTGGGCTCCATCCCCAGTGTGGGGTGTGCAGGGGGCAGCCGGTCCATGATTCTCTCTCATCATTGATGATTCTCTCTCTCTCTCTCTCTCTCTCTTCTTCTCTGAAATCAATAAAAATATGTTTTAAAATAAGGAAGAAAAGAGAAGGCACACGCTCCCGCCCCAGGAGAAGACAAAGGCGCTGGGACTCCAGGAAACAGGAGGCTGAGGTGCCCCAGGTCGCCGTCGGGCTCGACACGGAGCGGAGGAGGCAAGGGCGCCAGGCGAGGGCGGCCGCGGGGAGATGGACCCGCTGGCCCGGACCCTGCGGCTGGGCTGCCCTGGACCCGGCACTGGCCCCCTAAGAGCAGCGTCTGGGAGAACACGGGCTGCGGGCGCAGCAGGCTGCTCGTTCTGTTCTTCCGTTGTTTGATTTTTTTTTTAAACCAAGCACACATTCTACTTGGATTTTTGCCAGAAAAACAACACAGTCCTTTCAGGAAATGTAGGTCACGCAGAGCGGGAGATGGGCCAGCCCTGCGATGTGGAGACGGCCACAGGTCTTGAGGCGAAGGTGTGCATCGCCCCGTTTCTCAGGCCAGGAGGGGGCTGCACCCGGGGGGCAGGGGGAGAACCTGTGTCTGCAAAGAGGCTGCCGGCCCGTGGGGAGCGAGCTCGGTCCTGAGACCCCACGGCACCGGCTCCTGGGCAGCCTCAGGGCCCCTGAGTGTCCAGCTCCGCCTGAGACGCCCTCCCCTGCAATCCAGGGGCCACCCCTCCTCCCCCCGCTGCCAGCCTCCGTGGCCTAGACTCAGAGGTAACGCTAAGGGCACCGGGAGGCGGCCGCTATTCCAGAAATGAAATGGGATTTTGTCAACAGTGTCTGTGGCCGCCGCTGATGACAGCGAATGGAGTCTGGACACAGGGCTGGGCTAATTAGTGCGGAGACAGGCGGCTGTGGGCGCTGACAGTCCCCGTGTATGTGTGTGCACGTGTGTGTGCATGTATGTGTGAGTGTGCGTGTGCACTACCCACACAGCCCCACCCGCACACAGGCCTCTCTCCGGGGCCACTCCCGGCCCAGCCCATCCTCAGCCAGAGACCCTGGAGCAGCCGCTCAGCTATTCCAACCACAGCCCGGAAAGGGGTGGGCAGGGCAGGGGCGGGGGAGCCCTCGAGGCCTACCCCCGGGGCCAGTCTCTGCCACTCACTCCTTCTTCTTCTTGTTATTATTATTATTTTTGGTTAATCCTCACCCGAGGATATTTTCCATTGATTTTAGAGAGAGTGGAAGAGAGAGGGAAAGACAGAGAGACATGGATGTGAGAGAAACACATCGATGGGCTGCCTCCCGCCAGAGCCTCATCCAGGGCCTGGGCCGGGGAGGAGCCTGCGCCCCAGGTACGTGCCCTTGACCGGAATCGAACCCGGGACCCTTCAGTCCGCAGGCCGACGCTCTACCCACTGAGCCACGCCGGCCGGGGCCACTCACTCGTTCTTGGCGAAGGCGTATCTGTTGATGGTCTCGATGACGTCTTTGAAGAGGATCTTGGAGGTCAGGGTGTAGCCGTGGTGCACGATGGGCTCCCCGTCGGGCCCGTCCCAGCAGTCCACTGCAGGCAGGAGATCCGGTCAGCTCCCGGCCGCCCTGCCCGAGCCCCGCGGCCGTGAACTCCGACAGGGGGGGTCCCTGGCTCCATCACCAACCTGCCGAGCCTTCCCCGGCACCTGCGGGGCCGAGGGCAGACACCCTGCCCAGACCCCGGGGCTCCTGGGGCCACCCCCACACGAACACGCCTCCACTGGGTGTGCACCCCGACCTGGGGGGCCCCGAGCCCCGCACGCACCCTCCACGCAGCGGCAGCCGGCCTGCAGCACCCAGGCGTACATGTCCGCTCGCGACTGGGACATGAGCTGGTCGCCCACGAGGTAGGTGTTGTGGGAGGAGGTGATGAAGTAGTGGCTCAGCGGCCGCGTCATGTCCTGGTGCACGCGGTGGTGCTCGGGGTTGAAGATGTCGCCGGCCGGGCTGCGCGTGTAGTTGGTGAAGCCTGGGGGTGTGGGGGGGCTCAGCCCTGGTGCCGGGCCGTCTCGGGATCCCCCGGCCCCCCGGCCCCTTCCCCCAGAGCAGGGAGCAGCTGCTCAGGCTGCCGGCCGGGCCCACGGGCTGCCCTCGGCGCCCCCCACCCATGGCCGCCTGGGGTGGCGGTGGGACAGGGACGCCCACTCACCGTCAATGCCCAGCACCCCCTTACTCTTGTTCTCGGGGCAGGGCTCGAACTGCTCGATGATGTCCTGGCAGCTTTCGAGGGTCACCCCCGTCATCTGGGCCAGAGAAGGGGCAGAGCCGGGCCAACCTGTCAGTCTCTGGGCCTCCGCCTCCCGCCCGGAACTGACGCCAGGTCATGGCTGCCCGCAGCGGGCGTGGCTCGGGCCCTGCCCTGGGCTCCCCTGCCCGGGGCTCGCTGGCCACCTCCAGCATCACATGACAGGACTGTGGCCAGCAGACCAGGCGGTCACGTGGCTTTGGCTCTTGGATCCTTCAATCAGAGAAGGGCTCTTGGGCCCCCTCGGCTGGGCCCACCCCATGGCCACCGCCATGGCCGCGTTAGGGGCCCTGAGTGCTGTGGACGGGGCGGGCTTGGCAGCGGGCAGGGCCCGGGGGTGAGAAGGTGCAGCAGAGCCCATCCACATCCCACTGGGAGGATCCTGGGGCCCAGGGATCCTGCCCTTCACCTGCCCCCCTGCTGCTACCCAAGTCCTCCCAGGGGCTCAGGGGGCAGAGCCAGCCAGACCCCCGTGGCGGGAACAGGACCAAGTGGGAAGGCTGGACGGGGAAGCCTAGTCCCACGGGGGCTCCCCACTGAAGACCGTGCCGTGGTCACGGGGGGCTCCCTCTGGAAGCCGGGGTGCCCGCTGCCAGGACCTGCCCCCCCCCCCCCGGGGCCCACCTTCTGCTCCACCTCCAGGAAGCGCTGCAGGTCGGCGGCGGCCAGGTGGTCCTTGTGGCCGCTGTAGGCCAGCAGGAGCAGGTAGAGGTCCCGGCGGGTGGACATCATCTTGTAGAAGGCGCAGAACTCCTCAAAGCCCAGCGTGCCCTGCTGGTCGTCCGTGTCCGCCTCCTGCAACGCGAGGCCTGCGGGTCCCGGCGCCCACCCCAGCCCCACCCACAGGGCTCCCCTGGGCCCACCCCACTTCTTTTATTTTAATCCTCCCCCGAGGACCTTTCCATCGATTTTTAGAGAGAGAGGAAGAGAGAGAGGGAAAGGCAGAAACATCCATGTGAGAGACACACATTGATGGGTGGCCTCCTGCACGCGCCCCGACCGGGTCCCGGGCCGGGGAGGAGCCTGCAACTGAGGTCCGTGTCCTTGACCAGAATCGAACCCGGGTCCCTTCAGTCCGCAGGCCGACGCTCTATCCACTGAGCCAACCAGCCAGGGCCCCACCCCCACTTCTCCGTCGTCCCCGCAAATCCACCCTCCGCACTCCAACACCACTGCCCATGTCACGGCCGTGATTGCTCCCCGGCTCCCCTCTGACTCAGCACCGAGACCACTGAGTGCGCCTCTCACCCTCCCGCCTCCCAGCCTTTCAAGGTGAACCTGCAGCTGAGCCAGCCCAGGACCCACGCTGACAGCCAGCAGCCCCCGGGGTCAGCGCCCACCCTGGCGTGGGCACCTGTGCTGACGATGGATGCCCACCGAGCAGAGGGGCCATGGCGTGCACGGGTCCCGGCTCCACAGCAGAGGCCAGAGGCCGCTGGTCTTGGCCACTGTCGGCCTTTCGCAGAGAGTGGCTCACACAGCCCCCATGGGAACCCCCAGGGGCAAGGCCACCGGGACCTCAGCAAGCCCGTGGGCCCCTCATGAAGGCACGGGCTCAGGGGGCATCTCTGAGGTGCCAGGCCCTGGGGACGCCGGGGCCCAGGTGCTGCCCTGCCCCAGGGCTCAAGGCCAGGGACAGACCAGAGGATAAGGGTGCCCAGCGACAGGCAGGGCTGCCAGGACCTGAGGTGCTGCGAGGCTGGGAGTCCCTACCGTGGGCGAGAACTGGACCCTTAGAAGGTGCTGCTCAGACCCTGAGAGCTGCCCAGCCGGCGTGGCTCAGTGTTTGAGCATCGACCTATGAACCAGGAGGTCACAGTTCGGTTCCCATTCAGAGCACATGCCTGGGTCCTGGGCTCAACCCGGTAAGGGGCGTGCAGGAGGCAGCCGATCAATGATTCCCTCTCATCATTGATGTTTCTATCACTCCCTCCCTCACCTTTCCCTTCCTCCCTGAAATCAATAAAAACATATTTTTAAAAATACCCTGAATGCTGAAAATGATGCTTTGCCCCCCGGGGGTGCAGTGGGGACAGGAGGGAACATGACCGGCCAGAGGTGACCAGTCAGGAGGGACGGCAGCACCATGGACAGCGGCGCTCGCCCGGCCCGACCCGCTGGCTGGTGCTCCCTTATGTGGCCGCACAGGCGGGCGGGGTGGCCGGGTGGGGCCAGGTCCCCGGGGCCCCTCTGAATCAAGAGCATCACTGATGAGCCCGGAGCTCACAGCCACCCCCACATCCCGCCCCCAACGAGAGTCGGGCTCCCGGGAAAGCTGGGTCCCGGCCTGTGCTCCTGGTGGCTGCCTCCCTGGCACTGTGCTTGGCACTGAGGCGGGCGCCCGGCGGGGCCCCAGTGTCTCACTCCAGGACCCGAGTGCCCAGGCCGGGCGCCCATGCCAAGGCTGGGACGGGCCAGAGCCACGTGCAATGGGGCCCAGCAGATGCCAAGGGCCGGGCGTGCCTGGTGTGGGTTTGAGGGCAGCCCGGTGTCTGAGGGCTGCCAGGACAGGCGGGGCCAGGACACTCAGAGCAGGTCAGAGGCCGCTCCGGGCAGGGCCGGTCTGGTAGCTCTCCAGGGGCGGCTGGAGCTGAGCACAGAGGCCCGTCTGTCTGGGGCACAGGGCGGCCGTGTGTCCACTGGGCTCTGACTGAGCAGCACGGCCGGATATGGGGGAGGGGGTGGGCAGCTGCCTGCTCGCCACCCAGGTGCTGTCCCCGGCAGTGAATACAAATGCTCTGCGAGCCCGGCCCGTGTGGCTCAGTGGTTGAGCGTCGACCTATGAACCAGGAGGTCACGGCTCGATTCCCCGTCAGGGCACAGGCCCGGGGTTGTGGGCTTGATCCCCACTGGGGGCGTGCAGGAGGCAGCCGGTCAATGATGCTTCTCTCTCACTCATGTTTTTCTCTCTCTATCCCTCTCCCTTCCTCTTTCTCTAAAAAGTCCATAAAGACTCTTTTTTAAATAAAAATGCTCCGCAAGACCTGAAAGGGCAGAGCGACTCCCCAGCCCCAGAAAGAGCCCCCACCCCCTGGGGTCGGGCAGCTGCTTTGCTTCCCACAAACGGGCCAGCAGCCGGGCTGGGAGCCGCCCAGGACCTGCCCAGGAGCTGGCCGGTGCTTGCTAGGCCCTGAGGCCCGAGGGCTCGCTGGCCCTCGCCCACGGTCGTCTCAGACACAGTGACCTGACGTCCCAGCCACTCTGAGCCCTCCGCACGGTCTCCCCTCTGGTCGGGCGACCGCGGGGCGGACGGGGCATTGCAATGCCGACACTGCCAAGCAGAGCTGCCCGGGCTGGCGGAGCTCGGCCTCCCTCCCCGGCTCCAGGCGGCTGAGGGCAGCTGGCCGATGGGCAGGAGGCCCCGCCACTCAGGAACCCGGGCTGTCTCCACGGCCCGACCACCGTGGACCGTGGCCACTTGGGTCTGAGCTGCCCAGGGTCTGGGGTCTGAGGTCCAGGCCAACAGCCCCCACTCACTGCTCCCCAGAATCAGACCCAGGCCGCAGGGTCCCCACGCTCAGGGCTTCCTCGGGTGACCAGTGGAAGCCTGGACGCATCCAGGCCTGGGGTGAGCCGAGGGGAGCCCCTCGGTTGCCGGTGTCCTTACAGGGGGGACGCAGGGATGGGCTGCTGGGAGCCCCCAAGGGGCCTTTTCAAGCCAGGACTTTGTGCTGCACCTTTAGGGCTAGAGCCTGGGCTCACTCGCACCCCAATCCATAGGGGGCTTCCTCTCCTGCCTCAGTGGCCGATCTGAACCCCACGTCCTAAGCCAGGCTGCTGCTGGCCCCCGACATAGCCTCGCTGTACTGGGAGGCCTGCTGACCACAGAGCTGCCCCTGGAAGTGGGCAGGCAGGGAGCAGGTGCGGCTGATCCGAGGCCTGAGCTGTCCACCCGCTCCTATGGCTCTGTCCCCGCCTGGGCCCCCAGGAGGGGCCTGTAAGCCCCCCAAGTCCCAGCCAGAAGCCCGAGAGCATGCTGCTCTCTGCCCTCCATTCACGCACAGACCCTGAGCCGGCTGCTCCCCTGGCTCCAGCTGAGCGTGACCACCGTCTGTCATGAGAGCCCAGCAGGGGCGCCAGGGGCTGCACCTGGCAGAGCGTCAGGCTGCGTGAGTGGGTGTGCATGTGTGGGTCTATGTGTGTACATGTATGTGCCAGCAAGGGCCTAGGTGTGCACACGTATATGTGCACCTGCACGCATGTGCATGTGTACCTGTGTGTGCACATGTGTGTGCCTGTGCGTGCATGTGCATATATGCTTGTGTGTGCAAGCATGTGTCTCTGTGTGGGTATGTGTGTGCACGTGTGTCTGCGTGTGGGTTGTGTTGGCTCTCCCGGCTGCAGTGAGAACGAGGCCCTAATTAGACAGCACAGGCCTCCGCTCAGCTGAGGATGTGTTTTCCCAGCTTCTCACCAGGTGGTTGGGGACCAGGAGGCTGCGCAGGGCAGGTGGCACCGGAATCCCAGCAGGAAAAGTGCACCCCATCAGGTGGGAAAGGGGGTGCAGCCTCCTGTGGGTGGTCTCCTCACTGACCAGCCCCGGCCCGAGTGCCCAGCTCCGCTGGCCAAGCTGTGTCCTCTGCCATTTGCTGCAGCCCCAGGGCTGGCCTGCCCCCAACATGCCCCTGCCCCTGACACACCCCTGCCCTGACACACCCCTCCCCTGACACGCCCCTGCCCAGACACGCCCCTGCCCCTGACACGCCCCTCCCCTGACACGCCCCTGCCCAGACACGCCCCTGCCCTGACACGCCCCTGCCCTGGCACACCCCTGCCCAGATACCCCCTGCGGCCCTGGAGCCCTCCTTCGGCCGCAGCCCCGGCCGAGGCCTCACCTTGAACATCTGCTTCACCCTCTGCCGGGGCAGGTTCACGTTCAGCTTGTGCAGCAGCTGCAGGACCTCGCTGATGCTCAGGCTGCCATCCCCGTTCTTGTCGGCCTCGTCGAATGTCTGCTTCAGCCACTTTGGGGCCGAGTTAGGGGGCAACACGGTCTCTCAGGGCCCAGCCCCCAGCCCCGCACCCCCTCCCTCTCCCGCTCCCACGTGCACGGCCCAGCCGGGGCGGGAGGCCCCACGCAGGTGGACGCCCCCGGCCGGCCCTGCCAGGATATTGGTCCCGGGTGCGCTGGCGGCGGGCCAGGCTGTCCTCGTCGCTGATGCCGGCCAGGAGGTAGCGCAGGCCCGTGACCCAGGTGCGCGCCTCGTCGCTGCTGGGCGAGACCAGGTCCAGCGACTGGCGGTGGCTGCCGTGGTAGATGCTGAAGCAGCAGTTGGGGTCGAAGCTGCCGTCGGGGTAGCGCTGGAAGATCTCCGACTGCCGGCCCTCGCTCACCTCCTGGATGGAGTCGATGGAGACTGCGGGCGGGCGTCACAGCCTCCCGGGCGGGCGCCCCCCCAGCTGCTCCGGGAGTCCCCCTCCCCCAACACTCACTCTTGGCCTTCTCGTTCTTGCGCGAGGGCCGCCAGCGGATGCAGGAGCGGTGCTCGTCCAGGAAGTAGAAGCGCACGAGGCCCTTGGCGCTGCCACGGAGCTTCACCATCTGGGTCCCGGCCTGCATGGCGCTCATGCAGCGCTCCACTGGACGCGGCCGCAGGGACGGACGGGCGGGGGCGGAGACGGACGGACAGGGCGCGATGAGCACCCGCACAGCCCGTCCCCACCCCCACGTGCTAAAGTGGGTGCGAGACCACCCTCCACCCGCCCACCAGGGGCCGAGCTCGACGCCCAGGGCTGCTGTGACCCAGGGGCTGGTGCCCATTGCCGATCCCACCCGGGACCCTGCTCAGGGGCCAGAGCCCTCGGAGAAATGTCGGTTCTGCAGCAGCTGCCCTCCCGGCAGCCCCAGAGAGGCCTCAGACAGGACCTGCCCGTCCCGTCCACCACCTGGCCTGGCCCCAGCGGCCATGGCCTCCCCAAAGCTACTGCGCAGGAGACGCACAGACTCGGTGGCTGAGCTCCCGGCAGGAGTCTCGGTGCCGGCACAGGCGGACGCCCCTCCCGACGCCCAGCTGGCTCCCGGGCGCCTGCGCCCTGCCTGGCATGTCCAGGAAAGCCGCCCTCCTGTGTGGAGTGGGTGTCGCTGCTCCCGTGGAGGCCACAGGTCCAGCTCCAGATCCAAACCTTCGCGCACCCTCCCCCTGTGCGCCCGGCTGCTGCTTGCACCTCCCAGGACCAGGGCAGGGTTGCTGCCTGGACACGGGCCCCTGGGGTTGGGAGGCGGCCGGCAGAGAGGGGCACCCTAAGGCCATGGCTCCGGCACCAGCACCCAGGCTGCAGGCGCTGCCGCCCCCGCCCTGAGCCAAAGCTTCAGAGCTGCCCAAGTACCTGGCCAGCATGTCCCCCGGCTCTCCCCCCCCCTCCCCCCCCGCCCGCACTCAGCCTCCAGGCCCCGGGGCAGCAGAAGGGGCACTGCTGGAGCCCGGCCCCGAGGAGCCTGAGGGTACGAGGCTAAGGCTGGGGGCACGCCCAGGCCTGTCACCACCTCCTGGCCCCGCTGGCCCTGGACTGAGGGGGGCTCTGGCCACGGCGGGGCAGGCGGTCCCTGCCCCCTTACCTACTGGGCCGAGCTGCCACAGCGAGGACACGGCCACGCTCCCTCCGGCCCAGAGGACGGCCTCCACCAGGCAAGCCAGGCTCCCTTGGTCCAGCTGGAGGTTGATGACCGGGGACGGACATGCCCAGGTGATGGCCAGGGGTGGGTGCCTGGGGCAGGCCGGCCGGCACCCCAGCGCCTCAGCGGCAGGTCAGGGGTTCCCCGAGGCCCCCCTCTCTCTTGTCAGCACCCCCAGAGGCCTCGTGGGGCTACTCCTAAGCCTCTCTGGCCTTGGCCTGCCTGTCACCTGCTGTCCGAAGGCCCCCAGGCCAGCCCCCCCGCCCAGGACTATGGACAGATTTAAAAGAGCTGAGACTCAGGGTCCGCAGATGGGGAGCCTCCGGCCTCTGCCCGCCCAGCCTCTGTCGGATCCCTGTGCTAATCCGGCCCAGCCAGCCAGAGGGTTGAGGCCGGGGACGCCCAGCCGGCGGCCGGAGGGGACCGAACAAGCAGCAGGGACGCTCCAGGCCCCGCCCACGCGGCCCCACAGCCCGGCTGAGTAAATGTCAGGCAGGACAGACGGGCCCTAGAAGCCCAAAGAGCAGTTTTCATGGTACCGCCCTCTCGGGTGCATCCCCAGGCCCTGTGGGGGGCAGCCTCCCCTCCGTCCTCCCCACACTGGACCCCAAGGCTGCTGCCAACCCTCCATCCCAGCCGGAGCCCCCCTCTCCTGGCCATGGGAAGGGGAGTCCTCGGGCGCCCCCCCAGCAGAAGGGCCCTCGTTCCTCCCTCCGAAGCCCCCAGAGGACGTGGGGCCCCAGGAGGATGAGCCCTTGCTCTGAAGCCGGGAGCGTTGGGGTTGTTCTGTTGTTTCAGGGAGCTCGCCCTCGCCCTCGTCCTGACACAGCGCAGCCAGCACCTCAGCCCGTCCCGCCCCCCCACCCCGGGGGAGGCTGGGAAATCAATTCAATCTTCAACCAAACCCACAGGGGACACCACAGGTTCTCGGGGTGCACTCACACGCTGACCCTCCCACCGGGGTGCACTACGGCTCACACCCCAAATCACTGGTGCCTTCATCGAGCCAGCACGCTGGCGGCGTGGGGCGCACATTCCCGCCTCCCTGACCCTGCCAGCCCCTCCACCCTCCCTGCTCACCCATCCCAGCCCCTTCCTCCTCCAAACTGCTTTGCCTTTGGAGGACCTTTAAGTGGCCGCTTCCCGAGTCCACTTTACCTGAACGGCCAGCAACGGAGGGACACGTGGGCCCTGCCTCCCCCCCCCCGCCCCCCGTCCTCGCACCCTCCTCTTGCTCTGCTGTGGGCCCCGCTCAGCATACAGCAGGCGCTCATCTGTGCTTGGGTGGGGAAGCGGGAGGGCAGAGGCCGCACGGATCAGCCGGATCAGCCGCTGGCCAGGGCCTCAAGGGGGAGGGACGGGGCCCTCACAGACGCCGGGTTGCTCACACTCCTGGGAAGCAGCTCCCCTCCCGGTGTGGGGGGGCCTCCCCCCCAACTGCTTTTATGTCATCAGAGCCTGTGAGTCGGCTTCTCACCCCCCGGCCCCAGGACCCAGTGCCCGGACGCGGGAGCCAGGGCTGGCCCGGGGGAGCTTGGCAGGTCTGAAAAGCCCGGCCTGGGGAAGGCTGAGGGGGGCAGCTGGGAGGGAGGACACCTGGCCACTGCGATGCCCCAGACTTGCCCTCTGCCCTCCATGGAGTCTCTCCGAGGGGCAGGCCTCAGGCTCCCGGGACACCTGCCCTTTCGTGGCCTGAGCACAGACGCAGGGAGTGTGCGTGGGTGGGAACTGGCTCCATGGCCAACCTCGCTGTCCCCAGGCCAGCGGGCCAGCCCCACAGGGCCCCCGGGCACCTGTGCTCCAGGCGGGGTTCCTGGTGCCTCCATCAGCCCCAGGGAGGGTGGAGGGACTGTCCTGGCATCACCCGGTGAGGAAGAAAGTGTTCCTGATGGGCACAGCCGTGCACAGCATCTGGACTCCCGTGGCTGTGGGCATGAGTGGCTGGGACGCTCTGAGGCTGCAGGGTCAGTGCCTGGGCCTCCCCCAGAGAAGCCCCTCCCAGTGCCGGCACCAGGCCTTCGGGTGCCTCGGGGTCCGGGGCCCAGCGAGCAGGCCCCCCACCTGGCCTTCCCCACAGGCTCTCTCCCTGCACCCACCAGGGGCAGGCTGGCCTCAGCAGGGCCCCACTCTGGCCCCCTGGCCCCTCCATGCCCCCGTCCAACTACCCCCATGGCATTAATCACAGGTGACAGTCCTCAGGGAGGACAATTAACAGCTCTCCGGCCTCTGCCCTCGCAGGTGCCCTGGACTGTGGGTTCAGAGGCTGGGAGGGCCCACAGGCACCCACCTCGGCCAGAGCCCCTCAGGGAGCTGCCCGCCTGTGGGAATGGCCCAGGGAGCCCCAGGAGCCGCGGGAAAGGAAGCCAGGCTCAGCGGCGGCCAGGGCGGGGGCGCGTTCCTGAAAAGTCACCAGATGGAGCCCGTCGGGAGCAGAGGAAGCTCCCGCCGCGAGGGAAGGGGCAGTGCCAGGGAGGGGCCTCCAGGCTCCGGGGGAGCCAGCCCTGCCCCCACCGCACCCCACCGGGCCCTCGGGCAGCAGCTGGCCTGGCAGAGCGGGTAGAGCCTCGCGGAGACAGGAAGCAGGAGAGGGCAGAACCCTCCGTCCCTGTCCGCAGCCTCAGCTCCTCCTTCCAGGGCAGTGGCCGCAGAGCAGCTACCTGGAGAGCCCGGGCCTCGCGGGGAGAGGATGGGCCAGGCCTCCAAGTCTGACTCCCTGCTGACCCGTCCCCCTGCAGGGCCCCAGCCTGCTCTCTGCTGGGGGCTCAGCCTGCAGCCGTCCCTACCTCCTGCCCCCAGGGGGCCTCCTCGGGTCTCACCGGACCTTCCTCTGTGCCACGCCCCCCACGCCCACCGCTGACCGGGAGGGAGCTCAGGTGTGCACCCCGGGGCCTGAAGGCCGGCAAGAATCTCCGTGAACAGCAGCACAGCTGCCGGCCGGCTGGGCCGTGGGCCAGGCTCTGAGTCCCTGGGGGTGAGCCTGCCGGTCCCTGAGCTGGGTGCCCTGAGGGACCCACAGGATGGGTGGCGCCCAGGACCCGCCCGCAGATGGAGCCTTCCTTGGGCGCCCCCCTGGGTCCCCACCCTCGAGACACAGAGGGTCCTCGGGCCCCTGGGGTGGCTCGAACAGGTGGACTTCCTTCTCCCTCTGCCAACCTCCCAGCCCAACACACTGCTGGTGGGGGCCCCGTGGGGGGCTGTCCAAGTCAGCGACCTCCTCTGCCCGCCGCTGGGGGGGTGCTCATTGCCCTGCCGGAGGCCACACCCACGGAAGCCCACGCAGGAAGCGGTCCGGCCAGCGGGAGCCCACATGCGCCAGCTGGGCACGCAGACCCAGGGAGAAACACTCTGATTACTCAGCCCCTTCCTGAGCCCCTCCCCGCGGGCCGCGTGCACAGAGCCACTGGCACCCAAGCGGCCCCCTGCGGCCCCCGGACACACGCCCAGCCCCGGAGAGCAGCGCTTCCGTCCACAGGCTCCGGAGACGGTGCCAGGAGCAGGGACTGTCGTCATCAGCTCATTAGCTGGGCAGATGGAGGCCGGACAGGACTCGGGCCATCTGCTCGTCCTCAGCCGCACAGCCAAGACCGTCCCTCCCGGGAGCGGGCGGACGCGCCTCCCGGCACCAGCCGAGCCAGGGGTGTCTGCACGGGCAGCCCACCCCCAGCAGCCACGCCGCCCCGGTCACAGAGGGCAGCTCAGCCGGGGCGGGGGGAGGGGTCAGCGCACGGGCCAGGCGCTCGCTCTGAAGGCTCCCACCCCCGTGAGGGCTGCCCATGCTGTCCTCTCCTCCACGACAGGCTCAGAGAGGGCCGGTGCCTTGCTCGAGGCCACACCGCCCCTGGGCGCTCCGCCCCTGCGCCCTACACACGCTCCCAAGCCTCCTAGCCCCTCCCCGTGCCACGCCAATCAGAGGGCACCAGAAACAGGTCCAGGACAACCGGATCCACACGAATCGCCAGGCCAGCTC